TATAGGAAAGAAGATAATGCTCACACATTGCATGTCGACATTGTTGCCAAGCTTAGAGCAATGTTAGATGCTCACAATGTATTAGTACAGTCCTTTCGGATCATTGGCCAAAGGATAAGTCATTCCACAAATTTAGAAGTCAAGTTGAAGTTAATTGGGAGGAGAACTTCAGACCCAAGGGTTTACAATTTACCGTCAGTTGGTGAAGTTGCAGCTTTAATTGTTGGAGATCTTGATCAGGCTTTAGGAGAGAGGGATATTGTGGTTCAAACTCGTTCAGGTCCATTGAAACACATAAGTGAGTTACATGCAGCGTATCTGAGTCTCCAGTATCCACTATTGTTTCCATATGGCGATGATGGTTATCGAGAGGATATACCATTTGCAGATAAAACTTCGCTAAAGATTGGTGGACGGAGAAGCGTTAGCATCAGAGAATTCCTTTCTTATCGTTTACATAAAAGGGATAACGAAAGTTCATTAATATTGCGATCACGACGACTATTTCAAGAGTTATGTGTTGATGGTTATACAATGGTTGAGTCATCTAGATTGACGTACATCAGCACACACCAAAAAAAATTACGCTGTGAGATGTACAATAGATTTTCTGATTCGCTAGTGCAATGTGACAACGATACAGCTACTAAGGGGAAAAGAATTATTGTACCCCCTATGTTCGTTGGGGGCGCCCGTTACATGATTCAGAACTATCAAGATGCTATGGCAATATGCCGTTGGACTGGCTATCCAAATTTGTTTTTAACATTCACTTGCAATCCAAAGTGGCCAGAGATTCTGCGTTTCTTGCAAGAAAGAGATTTAAATGCTGAAGATCGCCCAGATATTGTTTCTAGGGTGTTTAACATGAAACTAAATGGTTTGATACGAGATTTAAAGAAGAATAAGATTTTTGGAAGAATTAGAGGACATAAGTACCATTTAATTATTTGCTTTATACTAAATGTAATATATTCTTATTACAACAACAATTCTAATTCGTGTACGACTATTTTAAATGCAGTGGTGTATACTGTCGAATTCCAAAAGCGTGGACTACCGCATGCTCATATCTTATTGTTTTTGGGTCAAGAAGATAAATTCCCCACTCCTAAAGATATTGATGAGATCATATTTGCGGAATTGCCTGATGAATCGAAAGATTCAACATACTTCAAAGCAGTTCAAGATTTCATGATTCACGGACCATGTGGCTCCAATTCACCAAACTCACCTTGCATGAAGGATGGCAAGTGCTCTAAATATTTTCCAAAGGAATTCAATGATGAAACAAATATTGATGAGGATGGTTATCCCAAATATCGGAGAAGGAATGATGGGCGGACAATAATGAAGAACAATGTTGAGTTGGATAATAGGTTCGTAGTCCCGCACAATAGATATCTGTTGATAAAGTACGAGGCTCACCTAAATGTTGAATGGTGCAATCAATCCCGTTCGATCAAATATTTGTTCAAGTATATCAACAAAGGCCACGACCGTGTCACAGCAGGATTTTATGCTATCACAGAGAGCAGAGATAAAGAAACAACACAGACTCCTAATGAGATTAAAATGTACTATGATTGCAGATATATCTCTCCTTGCGAGGCAACATGGCGAATATTTGGATTTGCAATACAGTACAAATGTCCCAATGTGGAACGCTTAAGCTTTCACCTTCCTGGTGAGCAATGGATTTTCTTTGAAGATGATGATGACGCAGGTGATGTTTATACTCGAGAAAGCATACGAGAGAGTAAATTTCTTGCCTGGATGAAAGAAAATGAAAAATATCCTGATGCAAAGACTCTAACGTATGCCGAATTCCCCCAAAAATTTGTTTGGAAGCAAGCTAAAAGAGAGTACGAACCTCGACAAAGGGGGTTTGCTATTGGACGTGTTGTGTACGTCCCACCAGGCTCTGGTGAGTCTTATTATATGAGAATCCTTCTAAACATTGTTCGAGGTCCCACTTCGTACGAAGATTTGAGGACTGTCAATGGTGTTATTCATGACACCTATCGTGATGCATGCTATGCTTTGCGATTACTAGATGATGACAGGGAGTACATCGATGCTTTTAAGGAAGCAAGTTCTTGGTGTTCAGCCAAACAACTGAGATTCTTATTTGTTACACTGCTAACAAACGAATCAATGTCTAGGCCGAAACATGTGTGGGAATAGTGTTGGGAATTCATGGCTGATGACATTCTACAACGTCAACGAAGTCTTCTAAGTCATCAAGGTATTATATAACTAATATTTATTTGGTGTTATAATCAATTATCTCTTTAACTAACTTTAGTCACATTTTCCTCAGGTTTGGTCTTAACTGAAGAACAAATAAAAAATTATGCCTTGATCGAAATTGAGATGTTACTTAGGATACGAGGCAAGACTCTTCGAGATTTCATTGACATGCCTTTTCTCATTCTAGACGCAGCTTCAACAACTCGCAACAGATTAATTCTTGATGAATTACAATATGATCGGCATGCATTGAAAGACGAACATCAACAGATGATGGGACAGTTGAATGACGAACAACGTCACGCTTATGAAACTATAATGTCGTCAGTCAACTCTGGTCAGGGGAAGATTTTTTTCGTTTACGTTAATGGGGGAACTGGAAAGACTTTGTCTGCTTCCATACGTTCAAGAGGAGATGTTGTGTTAAATGTTGCTTCAAGTGATATTGCCTCATTATTATTACCTGGGGGAAGAACTGGTCACTCGCGATTTGGAATTCCAATTACTCCCCATGAAAATTCCACATGCAACATTAAACACAAAACACCTCTTGCTGATTTATTGGTTATGAGCAAACTTATAATATGGGACGAAGCTCCAATGACCCATAAATACTGTTTCGAAGCCGTGGACCGAACTCTACGTGATGTAATGAGTGTAGTTTGTCCAACAAATTCAAATCTTCCCTTTGGAGGAAAGACGATTGTGTTTGGAGGAGATTTTCGACAAATTCTACCCGTCATACCTAAAGGAAGAAGGCAAGATATCGTCAATGCTACGATTAATTCTTCATATTTGTGGAAATATTGCACGGTCTTACGCTTGACAACTAACATGCGCTTACAACACATGTCTCGCGATGAGAACTTTGAGAGCATGAGAGAATTTGCAGAGTGGATTGCAAGTAACGGTGATGGTCTTGCTGGGCGAGAAAACGATGGAGTTGGGGATGTAACTATCCCAAAAGATATGTTGTTAAAAACTATTGATGACCCTATTGCGTCTATAGTAAAAGCAACTTATCCAGACTTCCACAATATTGCAAATGATCCAACGTATTTGCAAAGTAGAGCAATCTTGGCACCAACACTAGAAGTCGTGGATGAAATAAATGAATACATGACGTCATTAAACAACGTCGGAGAAGCAAAAACTTACTTGAGTTCTGATGCAGTGTGTAAATCAGATTTAAACGTAGACTTCTTGACGGACATGCATTCTCCTGAATTTCTGAATAACATACGAGCTTCAGGTGTGCCAAACCATGAGTTGAAGTTAAAGATCGGAACACCAATCATGTTGTTGAGGAATATTGATCAATCTTCAGGTTTGTGCAATGGGACAAGGTTAATTGTTACTCGACTAGGCAATCATCTTATTCAAGCTACGGTGCTTACGGGGAAAAATATTGGACAAGAAGTTGTTATCCCACGGTTGCTGCTTACACCGTCAGATACCAGGATTCCTTTTAAGTTTCAAAGGAAACAATTCCCAATTATGATTTCATATGCAATGGCAATTAATAAAAGTCAAGGACAGTCATTGTCGCATGTTGGGCTTTTATTGAAGAAGTCGGTATTCAGCCATGGCCAGCTCTAAGTAGCGCTTTCACGTGTCACAAATCGAAGAGGTTTAAAGATATTGATATGCAATGAAGACCCTGCTAAGATGAACCAAACTGCCAACGTAGTTTATAAAGAAGTCTTCCAAAACTTATAATGTAACGTTTCCAATATCTATATCATTGTATACTTCATCATCTCAAATATTTCGTTATATATTCGTATTTTAATTAAGTCATATTCAATTCTAACCACAATACATTCAGTTATTTTTTAACTTTTATTTTTGGTCGTGCAACGCACGGGTTCGAGTCTAGTTCTGACAAGTTTTGGTTCAGGTTGAAAATTATTTGTTCATGATCCAGTGTCATTGGGTTCAAGTTGACCCAACGGGTTATGAATTTCATTTATCTTTTTCAAAATTTTAAGTAATTTTTATGACCTAATGTCAATAATACGAAAAAATTAAATATTTAGAAGTTTGAAAAATGTAAGATAATTATGCGATATCATTAAAATTTGGTATGAATATATAAATCTATTTAAAAAAACGAGTAGTAAGCAAAGAAATGTAATTATAATCTTATTTTTATAACATTATATTTCATATCAAAATATACAATTCTAAAAAAAATCTTATATTAACGAGTTGGTCAGGTCAGGTTTGGGTTCGATCAAGTTTGACCTATTTTTAGCGGGTCATTTTGGGTCCAGTCAACTTCGGGTTCGATCAGTAAAATCTTTATCCAAAATCTAGTAATTTCGGGTCGAATCTCGGATAAAAAACAGGTCGGGTCATTTTTTGACAGGTTATATCTATCTATGAATGATATAATACATGCGGTTTATCACTAAAATGAACCCAAAAGTCTCAATTCCAAATCAATGGAGTTGGGATTGGTTAAATAGAGATTCAATTGAAAAAATTCATAACATCATTTAGGGTCTGTTTGGTACATGAAATCGACAGAATTGGAATTGAATTGGGAGTTTTTATAGAATTGAATTGGATAGAATTGAAAATTCCAATTCCAATTCATTTTTGGCACTACCCGTTACAAATCCACATATTTTGTGCTATCCAACAACAAAATTGAAATTGTTTTTTTTGAACACTGCACAATCTTATATTATCACAAACGCAAATCCATGATTACATCAAGAGCATACAACCTATCATCTTACATAACCCATCTGCTATTATTCGTACTATATTTTCCTCCTATACAAGTAGGTATTAAGATTGAACCAAGTATAAGAAATACTTTCCTCTACTTTAATATTCTCTTTTGCGAAAATTTTCTTGTTCCTAGCCCTCCAGATCGAGTAACATATTGCTGCCCAGGCTGCTCTCCAGACCATCTTTTGCTTACTACTGCCCTTCCTTAGGTATTTCGCACAGAACTCTTGTGGCGACTCCCCACCTACTTCACAGCCCAGGCTGGTCATGATGCTCCCAAATATGCAGTTTGCATAGTCACATTTCCAGAACAGGTGGTCTATATCTTCATTTCCACTATCACACAACACACATCCATTGTCAATAGTTAGAAATCTACTCAGCCGTTGCTTAGTTTGGAGCCTCCCTTTCAGTAGCATCCAAACAAACATTTTGTGCTTTGGCATTGTCCCTCTGTTCCACACAATATCAAACCACTCGTCTTTTGGAAGCTGCCCCATAAGCCATGAGTACCCCTCTTCAGGCTTGTATTCTCCCCTAACTGGCATACTTGCAAATTCTTGTCTCACCTTAATCATCTTCCTCCAATAAAAGCAAGCATCACATTTAGGGGAGTAATTCCAGTTTGAATTGAAATTGTTTTCTTCAATTCTAATTCCATAGTTTGAATTCCATGTACCAAATGGAGCCGGAGAGTGCTACCCTTTGCAAATCCACCTTGTACTTCAACTGTATCTTTGAACTATTGTAATTCTAACTCTCAACTCAATATCACCTTAATTCTGGTTTAAGAGATCTAGTTACATAAACCAATTTAAAAATCATACTCCTATATACCAAGGTCATCTTTTTTGTACCAACTGAAATTCTCCTTTACACCTCAATCAAGGTCATTTTTTATCAACCCTGCTTTTAAAAAGTCAATCACACTCCAAACAAAATGGTTGCAAGAAAGGTCATACCGAAAGAAACAATGTCATCAAAACAACAAAGAAGCCACACTAAAAAGTATCTTCTTTACCAGTCACCCCAATTTCTCCATGAATGTTTCTGTCAACGTGTGCCCGTTAACTATTTTTGTAGTCAATACAATCAAGTCATATGGCATACCCTCCTGCACATGCATCAACACATTAGGAAATTGACCAATATAACCCTCCTAAAAGCAAAAGTTTCATCTGGTTTAATGAAGTAATTAAGATTTTTTTTATTGAAAGAACTCATGTCGCGTATGGTACAGCTCATTGAGTGCCCAGACAGGGTATAAAAATTAATACAATCTCTGTCAAGGATTATAGAGGCTTGAGTCACCCGTCAATTGGGACAAAACGTTAGTGTTTGTATTTATTTTATTTCTAAATTCAAACCAAACATACTTGAAGAACCTTGTTTGAAAAAATTACATTAAATTCAATGCTTGCTTCTTTTGTTGAACTAACTTTTTTGAAATAAAAAAGAAGTTTTGAAATTGGTGATATTTAGTACAATGCTCGTAATATTTCAAAGCAAATGGGTAAACACAATACTATAAATTTCTATTCGTATTCATATTTTTTTTAAACAAGACTATTAAAATTGAAAACATGTGAATAGAGGCAGAAGAGATTCGGTTTTGATTAATGAAAGAACTAGAAAAAACTACCTGGGAACTCAGGAATCGAAGAGCATTAATCTCAGCAAAGGTCACCCCACCAATAAAAACAACAAGCACCAATGACCGCCTTCCATCACCTATTCTGAAATGCCAACAGGTGTGGCAAAAGACAATGATTTGGAGTGAGAATTGTATCTTTAATGCTGCACATCTTAGGGGAAGAAGGACCAAGAACCGGGCCTTAACTCAGATGAAACAGAAGGGAATGCAATACATTAACTAAAAATAACAGTACTATGCAATGCTCAAGATAGCTATTTAAGGAATATCCAACTATTAGATTTTATGAGCATCTTTTCTTCTCCTTATCTTACTTTGAATGCAAATTAATGGTGCTTCCGTCTGTGTTTAGAAGCTCTAGGTTTGTGCTTGAAATAAAGGCACACGGAACACACTATATTTCTACGGAGTAGGAGATATTAATTAATTAGTACATGCATAAAATACGTACACAAGGTCAGAACATTGCTTGAGCCTTACTTGTCAGAGTAGTCTATGGACCCTGGCAGACTGTCAAAGGACGGATTGCTTGCAAACCCACTCTGTAAAGATTCATGCAAATACATTTCTGACTTCTATGTGGTCTCGCTATATGAATTGAAAAATGAAGGTATGAAGGCTTACCCTCTTGCTGTCTGAATGGGGCCCTGGCAGCAGTCTTAATATTTCTTCAATGGGACGCCTGTAACATTTATATGTATAACCGGTTTACCTTCTTAGGTATATGCATGACTGTACCAATTATTTAAACTCATTTTCATCTCATCATCTCATGATACTTTCCATGAAAGTAGATAAAAGCTATGATAATGAAACTGAGATTGATCAACACGGTAAATTCTAGTACTGGACTAGTAGAAGGTTCATGGCACATTACCCCCAACTAAATGGAAAAAAGAATGCAATTAAAACTTTTGTACAAAAGTACTTCATACATGATTAGATTGGTTCTCCTTCAAGAAAAGTAAATGTCACATACATTAATGGTACAAACTCATTCCACTTTCCCAAAATACAATAAGTTGTAGATAGAAATCATTTATGTAGATATAAGATCATAGTAAAACACCAAAAAACATCAACAGCAAGCCAGTATAATCCCATCTCCATTGGGGACTGGGGGAGATGTACTCACCTTACCTCTGGAAAAAACAGAGAGGTTTCTGTTAGACCCTTAATGCATTGATGTATTTACTGCCCAAAACTTCATAGAAAGTAAGAAGCAAGAGAAGTTTAATGTGTCATTTTGATTTAATCCATTCTTTACTCAAAGCTAAAACATTGTCAAAGATGACTCTTTACACTCCATTGACTCAGATATAAGATTATAGTGCAAATTAAAATAACAAAAAATCACTAACATTAATTCAATTACAGTAATTACAAAATTATATACAGCAATATGGTCAATACTATCCAACAGAGCTCTTAAAAAAGAGATTACCACCCAGATCGGATTGCATGCTGAACCAGGCAAATGCTGAGAGGTGCATATCCAGAAAAGACATAAGAAATATCTCTGGGGCTGCATTACGCACACAATGTTCAGAATCAGATACAAAGTAAATATCTGAGTAAATTATACACGGAGAATAATACAATAGTCAGATTAAAACATTATTAGATAGTATAGATACACTAATGACACGTCAACTCCTTAAAGATCAGATACAGAAATAAAATATTGCTCATTTTGGCCTAATAATCTTAGCTGAATACAATCTGCTTTTTCAATGGAAAAACTCTTTCTTTCGATGTCTTCCATTCCAAATATGAACACAATTGATTTCCTAATTCCTTCTTGACAAGAAGACGGAAGATGCAAATGTAACACAATTTCAAGGATGAATATAAGACCCCTTAAGGCTTCATATAGTAAATTCTCACAATTTTTCTGAAGTTTAATATATTTATTCAGCTTAACAAGTACTATGAGTGGCAGTGTTTATTTTAGTTGAGCCTTTAAAGAAGCAGAATAATTGCNGTTTAATAGTTATCCAGTTGCTTTTAGACTCCTAAGACGAAGACCAAATGCCAAATTCACTATGTTATGGAACTGAGCAATACACCAAATAGAGCAATGTACCAACCATCGTAGTATTGTACCACAAACCTGCTTCCTGAACAATCCCGCCTTTTCCAAATTGTTTAATGTAGCAATGTGCTCAAAACCATAGCTGTGAAGTAGCTCTCGCCTACAAAAGACAAGACACAGAAATTTGTTAATTTTTTCAATAATATCCAACAACATACCAAATAGAGAAATTTGAAATAGAGGAAAATGGCATTCATATCCCACTCACCTTAAGTAGTCATAGTTCTTCTTTGGTAATCCAGAATTTGTGATCGAAAATAATATGAGAATGCGTAGAACATTGACAAGAGGTTCCTGTTTATGGATCATCTCCTCGATGTACTCGAAGCATCTGCATCACATGAAGCATTAGATTTCACTTTATCTTTTATTGTTATGCAATAATGCAAGACTAGAATGCTGCAAATGTTTTTGGATGCATTAAACTAGGGTTAAATGATACAGACGACAAGATGAGCTTACAAGGATGCCTCGTATTGGTCATCAATCATCATAGTGTCACATATTTCATATTACTCAAATGCTTGTCATGGAAAAAGAAAAATTTAGTTCCATTTATTTCAGGAAAAAAGAGATGAACCAACTTCAGAAAAAATAGAGAATGGGATCACTTCCATAACAAAAGATGCAAACTGTAGCAGAAATATAAGAAAAAGTACTTTGACAAGAAAATCACAGAAACTCTATTAGCAGTGTAGCACAAAAGAGATAAAGAAGGAAATATAAGGGGGGACTCTTCATTTTTGCATAAACTAATGGGATAAAAGTGCATACATCCATTTCAAGAGTAGATTTTATTAGTGACACAAAGATGTTGTAATTTGTAAAGCTTTATACAGTATAGATACTAGTAAAATTTCCTATTATTAGTATTACTAGTACTAATTTCCTAATATTAGTATTAGCAATAATCTCATATTCATATTGGGATTCTTTTTATTATATTCCTAATATGAATATTGTAACAGTAAGGTCTCCAGTACTTGCTCACCGAGATTCTTGGGACTAGTATAAAACTATAAATGGAGGGGTTCTGTTCAATAGTAATGCCATCAATAATTTTGGAGTTAATTCATATACGTCTTTGGTAAAATCAAACACAAATCCCCTCTCCCAAGGGAAAGAAGGAAACCTTACTCCTCCAAGGGCAAGAAGGAAACCTTACTCTCCCAAGGACAAGTAGCTTTTTATGTTCATAGTTTTCATTCATCCTCTTCTTCTCCTAACCATGTTTGTGACATTTTATATGTTGCAATTTAACTAATTCCTCTACTCTATGCATTTTCATTTCTCATATCAAGATTCATATTTCTAGTAGACATTGTCATAAGATAATGCCCCACCCACACACCAACACAATCATTTGAAGCATTGACTTGTACTCCTTAATAAATAAGATTGAACTGGTACTCTATCCTTTCAATGAGCCAATGATCACAGGCAATACTTTTATTGGAAAATTATTATTTGAGATAACTTATATTTATAGTAAAAAAGATCAACTAAAACAGCAACAGAAAAACATATTATCCATACTGAGCTATTTTCAGCCAATATTTAATAATAATCAATTAAAGAATCTATACACGTAGTTTAAGAAAACATGAACACCTATAAACCTAAATTTGAGACCCTTTCAAAACTTAGGGCCTTTCAAACCAATAATAAGACAAGTTTTCCAATTAACTCACATATCGTAACTTTCAGACTCCACAATAGTATGTTCCATATCTAGCCGCCCAAGAAATGAAGGTTTAGATGTAAATTTATTCAAATGCTGAGCAAGATGTATATGCCTCTGGAAATGAGAGAAAAATATTAGTATCACACTTTTTTTGGAAATACTGCAAATGGCTGTTACCAAATCCAAGAGTATAAATGAACTTACTGTCATTTCAGGCAATGAGTTGAGTTTTTTAACGAAGTCTTTCAATTCAGAAACAGTTTGGTTCTGCATAAAATTCACAACCAATTAAATGTAAGGTTTACAATATAACATATTCATTCAAAAATCTCTCTCACATAGTCATTCACTATAAGATACACACAACATAGGTAAAAACCTAAAATAAATTACGGAGTATTAAATTAGTTGATTTGGAGCTGCAAAACTGAGAGTATCAAAGAGTCTGCATCCCAGTCTTCATTTTATGTGATAAGCCTTCTCTATTAATTCCACTTTAAGTGGTCTAATTAACTAGTTGCTGGGATATAAATTACTACAAAATTGTGTTTTTTAAAGCATGCTAATATTTATATATAATTCTAATCACATATTGAAGCAATAGGCATCTATGCACATTTAACAATTACAAGGACTTACAGCTGTTTGCATCTCATTGTAATCTTGTTTCATAGATGTTGCTCTTTGACGTAAAACCTGCAATTGCACTGTAAATGGCAATTAAAAGACCACAGAAAAAAGAACGAACCGATTATGCAAATTCGGAACATGGAAAAGGAAACATTATGAAGATGACATGGAAAAAGATGTCCAAAATCGCCTAAACTTTTAAAACAGAACTGAAATGACAGATCAACCTGACCGACAACTTCGAAATTCTGATCCCGTATCTCTTTGAATAGCTTGTCACTGCAAGGACATACTAGGTCAGCCAGACCAAGAGGTAACTATGTGCTATGCATGGCTAAGCATATTTAGGGGTAAAAGTCATGACTGAAACTTGCAAGCCTAAACTTTATTATTGAAAATACTCAAAGAGTTCATACAATAAAGAAGTCCTAAGAGCTAAAAATGCTTGTTAGAGTTCAAAAAATTTAGTAAAGCCAATTTCAACCCTGAAAAGCTTATAACCTTATAGTAATACAAATTAAAGATAAGACTTCTCTACCAATTAACAGTTAGAAGAAAAATTACCTAGAATTTAGAGGAACCTTCATTTTCTTCCCCTCTTGCTGGGCACCCATTATAGAAGAATCTACCTCCACAGCACCATTATTGATACCAAGAAACTGTATGACACTGTTAAAGAGTATCCCACATCGAAACTTGAAGAGAAAATAAACCGGTATATAAGCTCTTGAGTTGAACTAACTAATCGATTGGATTCAATCTTTTAATGTGGTTCAACCCAAGTGTCTTATTGCCCAATCCAGTTGTCCATACCCCATCCTAAATTCTATCATGGTATCGGAGCCAGTTTTAGCCCACCTCGTTTGTCAAGGTGTCCGTCTAGACGTTCATTCCTAGCGGCCCGTTAGTCTTTAGCCCAGTTGTCCGTATGGAGGTTGTACCCAACGGCCTGTGGCCTGTTTAACACGATTGCTCGTCTGGAAGTCCATACCCAGCGGCTCGTGGTCATTTAGGTGTTGGCGCTAAAAACAATCAAGGGTATGGGAGTCCATTTGCAAGTGGTCAACCGGTTAGATTCAAAATGGCCCGGTTGTCCACTTGAGGGGGAGTGTTAAAGAGTATCCCACATCGAAACTTGAAGAGAAAATAAACCGGTATATAAGCTCTTGAGTTGAACTAACTAATCGATTGGATTCAATCTTTTAATGTGGTTCAACCCAAGTGTCTTATTGCCCAATCCAGTTGTCCATACCCCATCCTAAATTCTATCAGACACCAATAAAATATATACAGCACCTATGATTCACTTTAACACGTGAGAATAGTAATTACAAAAATAGCTTTTTACCTCATCCATTAGCCCTTCATAAGTTAACTGGGAACACATAGGTGTAACCATGTCCACCTGCAGCAGGGAATGAATTTTAGAATTATTTAAAAACATTTTCATACCATGTCTTATATAGAAGACTTATCAAACCTCTCTCGACATCATTCCCTCACAATGCATGTATATGCAACTTTTTACAAAATAAAAGGAAATGTTGAAAACAAGAAATTTCTTGAAGGGAGTGAATACCTCTCTGTCAATGAGGATGAGAGTGTTAATCTCTGGCACAACAACCTGCATGTAAATAAATTCCAAAAAGAAATATTAACCTACGGTTTATGAGGCACTCAGTTTTTATGTATTCTCAAAGGCACCGTGTTTTAAATACATCGGTGATGTTCACTGGTTCTTCATCTTGCATCCTATTTAAAATGTCAGCAACACGGACAGATGCTTTCCCTTTGGCTCTCACATTTGGTATCACACCAAAGGAACACTGCACTTTTCAATTAAGACATCAATAGAAAGAGTGAACGGAAGTGCTTTTGCAGAACCTACTTTTCTTTATGTTTATCTTCATCTATGTTTATATGCCAAATGCTGATAAAGTTGTGAAAGAAAAACCTCAAGCTTGTGAATGGCTTTTGCTATATGCCAAAGAGAGGTTGTGTCTCCATCAACTGTGAATTCCTATCAGGAAAAATGAAACTACATTTATATGTATGTCTTAAATGCGAAAAAATGTTGTGAAACACCATGAAAAACAAGGATCAGACATACTCTGTATGCAGTATCGAGTTCAAAAGACAAAACATCTTCATCCAGATGAAGTAGATACAAGGGATACTCGCCTATGGTCAATAAGTGATGTACTTTCTTTTCCTCTAGTACCTATGTTGCATGCAAGTTCAGAAAAAAACTATGCCAAGATCTGATCCTCTAAAGCATAAAACAATTCCGTGTCGGATTAGGGAGCAAACCTTTTCGCATACAACTGCACGGCGAGGAACAAAATACAAAAAAATACTCTCTTTGAATCCCCTTAGAAGTATCATTATGAATGTCTGAGCAAATACCCTTCATCAAGCCAAGCTGAGCTCGAACAAGATAAACAATTTTAGTACAATCTGTTTGGATTGGTTCACTTGTAAGGTGCCGCAATTCAGCCCCTAGCTCCTGTTTAAGGTTTCCAACAAACAAGTTTGAAATTAACAATATAGCAAACCCATCATTGATGGTCCATTTGCTCCTCAACACATAATATTCTCTCAACACTTTCTGTTAAATATATTTACCATACTACGTATATATTTATGTTAAGTATATTTAATGTATTTATTATTATATCATTGTATTATTGGTAGTTACCTTTTGTATAGGTTTCCTTACTTGTACTCCTACCATCATTAGGAGTCCCGTCCTGTATATATACGGTTGTACTCCTACACGTTTGATTATCGAAAATATTCATTCTTCATGGTATCGAAGCCTATTCCAAAACCCTAATTTTCTTCTCCTTCTGTCGGCTCTGCCTTCTCTCGGCGCTGCTCTCTCTCTCTCTCGGCTTCACTGCCGCAGCAGCCCCACCCTCCCCCTCCGTCGTCCTCCCCTCTCTCTTCCTCATGGATACCTCCGACAAGACGACGGACAAATCTCCTTCTTCCTCCACTACCTCCTCAAATTCCCCCCACTTGGCGTTCACGGCTATATCTAACGTCAAGCTACACGTCCCCATACAGTTGGGTTTTTCTCAACCCAATTACACAAAATGGTGCCGCCTTTTCTTGCTCCTTGTTCGGCGGTTCAATCTCCATGGGTTTCTCTCCGGCTCCAAGATCCCTTCTTCCGCCGACGACGACGAATGGTTTCAACTAGATGCTTTGCCAGTGACCGATGAGGTCTCCGATTTGGTCATCTCCTCCACCTCAACGGCCTCCGAACTTTGGCGGGTGATTCATGATCTCTTCCATGACAACAAACCGGCTCGGGCTATGCAATTGGAACACCAATTCCGCACTACGGTCAAAGGATCTATGCCCATGGCCACATATTGTCAAACTCTCCGGAACATCGCCGATTGGCTAGATAACGTCGACGCCCCGGTCTCTGAATCGCAGCTGGTCCTCCAACTCTTGTGAGGTTTACCGGACGATCTCCAAGCCCAAACATCTTGGATGCAATTTCAACAGCCCCAACCCAATTTTCTCCAAGTCCGGTCGGCGTTATTGCTTCTTGAACATCAACGCTCACACTCAATTGAGACCGGGACAGCCCTTAGCGCAGGCCGAACCGGCGGCCAGCCGGGTCCGAACCAGCAGCAGCCGCATGGCCGA